CATCAGCAGTGCTGCGTCTGACTCCCTGCCAGCTCCCAGATCAGCAGCAAAGGTTATTTTTTTCTAACTCCAACATCTGCTGCTTGTGAAGCATTTCACAAGCCTCATAGGCTCAGAAGCTCATGAATCGCTGCTTCAGCAGCTCAGATGATTTAGATGTGTTGCTCCTGCTGCTCGGGACGCGCTGCAGGAACTTTTGATGCACCTTGATGTCTGTTAACCTTAGACTTGGCATCTAAACCGGCTGCTTCTGCTGCTGCTTGTCCGCTGTTAACTTAGCATAACATTCAACCAATAACCTTAACTCACCTGCAGGTCTGCACAGGTGGAGAACATACAGGCTGTGTCCATGGGCTTGATGGCCTTTCCGTGTAGAGATGGACCCAGTTTGGAGATGATGGGTGGCTGGGCAGGAGGGAGGAGAGAGAATGGTGGCTCAGTTACAGGAGGAGCTGCTCCTTCAGATCCATAACCAAATGACACAATGGCATTTTCTGGGAGGGCAAACAGAAAGAAGAAACATTTAAAGTTTCCAAAACAAGTATTCTATGACCACTTTGTGTTCATTAAATAAATTAGTTCACTGTTCAAGGTACAGTCACTGCTTTTTGTCCATTCTCTATTTCACAGATAAACACTGGAGAGAAAGCTTTGATTAGAAAGTCTTATCTAGATGTTCATCTCATCTATTCACCAGTCTGAAATGAAGAATAGTCCAACAAACTTCATGCGAATGATGTGGAGATTATTGGAAATGAAACAGAAGCATCTGTTGTTTGTGCTTTTACAATTTAATAAAATCAAAGAGATTCTCTCACAACTCAAACCATTAAACGGTTTACATTCTTAGTTTGGAGTTTTTTACTCTGATGTTCCTTATGTACATTTACTGGAAATATGAGGCACAAACAAGAAGGGCAACTATTTGCCAAAAATTAGATTTTTTTAATTGTCATTTAGGTTGCCAAGAACGGCTCCTCTCGACAATTTCGATACGTTCACATCTTATGCTGCTTAATATCGATACAGAGTAGACATCTAACCTGCATCTATGATCGTCAACACCTGCTGGAGCTACGGTCACAAAGTGTTTTAAATCCAGACATTTTTGACTGTTTAAAAAGCTGCGGAGTGCTACGGATGAATGTAAACAAAACAAACAACAGAACGTAACTGCCGTAGGAAGAGGTGTGCGAAACGGAGTAAAGAGGATGCAAAGGGGGGCTAACTGCAAAGCTAAGGATAAATCCCCACGGACCTCCGCTTTCATCAATCCAGCTCTCCAATTTCTGCTCATTGGGCAGAAAATGGATAATCTCGGACTGGAACTCTCATCAAGGAAGGAGATTAGTATCTGCTGCGCCATCATGCTGACGGAGTCATGGCTGCATCCTGCAATACCGGACAATGCTATTAGCCTGCAGGGCCTAACGCTATACAGCACAGATAGGAACAAAAACACTTTAAACCTGGTTTACTCTAACATCAAAGATGCATTCAGAGCAGCCCCCCGCCCCCACCTCGGGTCATCAGATCACCCATCTGTCATGCTTATACCGGCATATAAGCCCCAGCTGATCAGGGCTAAACCGACAGTTAAAGAAGTCCGAGTGTGGTATGAGGGCGCCATGGGGCTGGAACATCTTCAAGGCTGCAGCAACATATGATAACTTAATAAATATTGATGAGTATGCTATGACTGTGTCAGCCTACATCAACAAATGCATTGAGGACATCAGCATAAAAAGAACATCACCATCCAGGCCAACCAACCACCCTGGATGAATGGAGAGGTTCAGAAATCTCTAAAAGCACTGAACTCAGCTTTGATGTCTGGTGATAAAGAGGCACTGAGAAC